TGCATCTAGGTTAAAAAAAGTTATAAATATGATGTTCCCCCCAAACCAGATTGGGTTTATCCCTAATAGGTTTTTAGGCTCTAATATTAGAAGACTTTGGGATATGTTAGATTCCGTGGAATAATCTGGGACCCCCATGTTGACTCTCTTGATTGACGCCGAAAAAGCCTTTGACAGAGTTAACAGGGGGTTCATGAGCAAATCTTGGCAAAGTTTTGGTATACAAGAATGACTACATCAAGCAATCATGCTGTTGTATTGCTCCCCATCTGCAAGAACAGTGGTATACAACATAACAACCGATTGGTTTCCACTAAAAAAGCAGGACAAGACATGGATGCCCACTCTCCCCATTGCTTTATATAATATCAATTGAACCTCTAGCAATGAAAATTTGGGGTAAAGGGCTGCGCTAGATGCAAATAGATAAAAATATTAAATAATAGTAGGATAAAAATATGCAGTAAAAAATATATATGCAATAAAAAGACAATAAAAATATGTGAAACAAAGTCTGTGCATTAATAGTGGTAAAACTTAAAAAGTCCAATACCATACATAAAAGACGTCTCACTGATATATGGATGAGCTGTATTTGTACAGTCCTTAGAGGTTAATCCTTCCGAATTTCCAGGGAATCCGTATATGAAAGATATAAAAACATAAACACACTTCCAATAGTATAGTATGTACTGAGAGGATTAGCGAAATTGAATAAAATGGAGGATGATAAACTCACATTTGTTGGAGCTTAGGATCAGCTCTTAGTTGTAAGGCACTAAGCGGTATAATCCCCGCTATTTCGCACGATATATAAAAACAAATATAGTGCTCTCAGTAGGAAGGGAAAACGTAAAATAAAATAAAATACGTTATACTCACAATGTTGTTTTAGCCATTTTTGATAAAGCCCATGAGGCGAAACGCGTTAAATGTTTTTTTTACTGTGTATTTTAACAATAAAAACTTTTAATTGGTACCCTTATTTATAGGACCATTTTTGTTTTATTGTACAAACACTATTTTTTATTTTTATTCTTCTCCTGGCATCTAACTGTTCCTGCTTAAAGCAATCCACAGGTGGGGATTATTCCACCGGCGCATTATAAATAGAGCAGTACTTCCTGCTCTATCATTGTGAGTATAACGTATTTTATTTTATTTTACGTTTTCCCTTCCTACTGAGAGCACTATATTTGTTTTTATATATCGTGCGAAATCCTACGGAATCAAAGCCGGACGGAGTGACCCAACCTCACAGAATATCCGTTAGCGGGGATTATACCGCTTAGTGCCTTACAACTAAGAGCTGGTCCTAAGCTCCAACAAATGTGAGTTTATCATCCTCCATTTTATTCAATTTCGCTAATCCTCTCAGTACATACTATACTATTGGAAGTGTGTTTATGTTTTTATATCTTTCATATACGGATTCCCTGGAAATTCGGAAGGATTAACCTCTAAGGACTGTACAAATACAGCTCATCCATATATCAGTGAGACGTCTTTTATGTATGGTATTGGACTTTTTAAGTTTTACCACTATTAATGCACGGACTTTGTTTCACATATTTTTATTGTCTTTTTATTTCATTTATATTTTTTACTGCATATTTTTATCCTACTATTATTTAATATTTTTATCTATTTGCATCTAGCGCAGCCCTTTACCCCTTCTTTTTTCTTCACAATTTTACTAGGGTTCTTAAGGGATTCCCTTTAGAGGGTTGCAGCTCTTATTTTCTTTTTGCTGTTTAGCGCAGACTCCTCCTCCCTTATTCTTTCAATGAAAATTTGGAACAATCTAAAAATAGAAGGATTCCACATAAGACAAACACAATTAAAGATAAACCTATATGTGGACGATGCTCTATTGACTCTTCTAAACCCTTAAGAATTATCATGGTGGGGCCGTATCAATTTAATCAATTTCTATATCCTCCCAAGATGGTCCTATAAGTTTTAAATGTTACCTCTTCATATATCTAATCCATGGCTTACCATGATACAGTCCAGCCTAACTAATTTTTTGGGGAAAGGGAAACCACCTTGGTTAAGTAGGAAACAGTTATCTCGAAAAAACAAAAACAAAGGAGGATTAGACTTTCCAAATATTAAGAAAATATATCAATCAAGTATAATCATGCACGTATACTGGTTACAAATACATTCCCCGGAATTTGAAGGGTGGCAAGAGATAGAACAAAATTCACTGAGAAATAAAGATATATCTCTGGCCGTATGGAATCTAAAAAGTAATCAATTTACTACTCAATAAATTTACTACACAATAAAATTTTAATAATAATTATTTAATAATAATAATACCTTCAGTAAAAATTTAAATGATAGAATTACTAACAACAGACTTAGTGTCAGGAATTGTATTTGTTTATTACTGGTCCTTTAAGACGGCATGGAAGTACACACCCCTTTGGTTATTTAAACTCCAATTTCCAACACCTCAGGGCACAATTAATGTGTTAATAGTTACATAGTTACATAGCTGAAAAGAGACTTGCGTCCATCAAGTTCAGCCTTCCTCACAAATGTTGTTGCTGTTGATCCAAAAGAAGGCAAAAAACCTGGTCTGAAGCGCTTCCAATTTTGCCACAAACTAGGAAAAAATTCCTTCTTGATCCCAAAATAGCAGTCAGATGTCTCCTTGGATCTGACTGATTGCATCAACTTCCTTGCTAATCATTTGGATCACTCCTGGAGAATCTGTGTTTTCCATCACTGGACCCCTTCTGAATCTCCTCTTCATACCCCTATATCTTGGATTACCTGGTTAACTAATTCGAACTGGCCTTGACGCTGCTTTTGGAATTTCCTTCGATACTGCTTGATCTCCTATTGAACAACCTTGGACTGGATAAAGGACATTGCTTATCGACTAACCATCACCTAAACTTCTATTTTCAAGGACTGTCAATTTATCTCTCTACTTTGCTGCCACATCAGTTTGCCGTGCTGAAACTGCCTCAAAATAAAAAGTGAGTGGTTCTTATTTTTTTGTTTGGCATTTGTTAAAGAAAAAAACATGACTGAGACTTAAGTTTTTGGAAACAAAACAGCATTTTGATTGTTACACAATTTATCAATAACGACAAAATAAAACCTTTCCCAGATCTTAAAGAAGAATTTAATGTAACCAACTCTCAAGTCTTCAACTATCTAAGAATGAAAAATATCTTAGATAAATATCTTTTACATAACAACTCGAATTTTATTTCTAAGCTACAAATGATATCCAATTATTCAGTGGAAAAAGTACTTTTTAAGACTAGAAATTTAATAGAATCCCTAGATTCAATAGTCAAAATTCCAGTAATGTTTAAATGGGAAAATTATTTAAGAATTGGTATAGATAATGACTATTGGAACAAAACTTCAGATGTGCACTGCCTGAACATATTAGAAATGCAATACAATATTGCTAATAGATGGTATTGGCTGCCAACTAAAAGCACAAAAATGTCCTCATCCTACTCAGATATATGTGGGAGGTGTAACAAAATGAAGGGGACATATCTACACATTTGGTGAGACTGTGAACAAATTAATGAGATCTGGGCTGAGGCCTGTGAATGGATATTAAACATAGCTAAAGTCAAAATAAATTGGTCTTCAAAGGAAACACTCCACCTGTTTTGGCCAAAAATACCCCAATCTGACAAATGTTAATACTACATACTATATTGGCAGTCAGACTGACTGTTACACAGAACTGAAAATCAACTAATAAATCTAATTGGTATAATGAAAAAACAACTGATTTCTCAAATTTAATTGGAAAAAAGATACAAGCATAAATCTATGAAATTCAGAAAAAGATTCTTAAAATGGAATGAATGGTTAAAAAAAATTGTTCCAAAATAAATACTAATAAAAATCTAATACAAATATTTTATAGAACCGAAAGGGTGTTTTACTCCTTTATAAGTCAAGGTTCTCCCCCATCCAGATTGCCTATGTAAATTAACTGGCACATCCCCTCCTCCTCTCTTCCTCCCTAAATTATTGTCATATAAATTTGTTATGTTCTGTTATGTTATTGATACGAATGATGTCTGCTTTTTTTTATTATATAATACTATATGAACAGTTAAGAGAGGCAACACATATGTATGTTAGTCTGTATATTTGTAAGAGAAAATATTTCTAATAAAGATTAAGATAATAAAAAAAAACTGTTCATGAGGGTACTGTTTTACTCGTGAGAAATCGCTGAGTACAAATATATGCACTTCATTGCGGTAACAACTAACAGTATTATGACATTTACAGTTAAAATTCCATGCAGACCCCAAAAAATAGCATTTCTTAATTTCTCTCATTTTTTATTATTCATATTAAATTATGTTTCATTGCTAAATATCTGATGTTAAACAAAAGCCCTGCTTTTAAGGGGTTAAATATACTTCACTTACATGTGTGGTAATTGACCATGTCCGAACACCAAAGGGGGGAGGTGACAGAAGGTTTTGGGAAATGGGAAACAGTTTGGAACTGAACACTTTATCCCCAAAAGATCTCAATGAAAAATGTTCCTTTGCACCTTTTTTTTTTTTTTTTTGTAAAACATTTTTTTGCAATTCTTCTGTAGTTTCTCTGCATAGATTCTTCTTTTTCTGATTTTGATGCTTATGATGAACCATTAAGCAAATATTTTTCATCTGTAATATTTTTAATTAATATTTCTTTTTTGCGGTATCTTCTAATATTTAGCATATATTTTTTTTATTTTTTTTATTTATAGCGTGCAAAGAAATAACATAGTGTTCAGTAAGCCACAACAGCCTCTGCACACAGATTGATAACAAGACATACAAAACAGGGTTATGGCATTCGTACATATCGCACATTTTAAATATTTTATGGTAGCTTAGATTTCAGGCTAACTAGTGGATGTCTGGAGCTACTGTTAAGGGAGAGTGGCTGACCTTTGCATAAACATAAGCATGTGGCTAATCATTGTAAGGTAGTACTGTGAGTAAAGTAAGAGGAGATGCATAGAGCTGTTAGCTAATATAGACATGCTAAGTTGTTATGCTGAACCATAGTGTAAGTGAGCCACTGGGTACCGGTAGCAATTTTCTTGGGTGGAGGTAGCTCCGTTTTGCCCAAAGAGCATAAGAAAACAAAACAAAGACAACATAAGCGAGAACAGATAAAAAAAAGGACACAGGTACTGCGTCACGACAGCCCTCTTATGCCACACTTCAGTAGCCTTAGCACAGTAGAGAGCAGTAAAGCATTTTTTGTTTATGGTAGTAAACACTTAGCGAGTTGACATAATGCTACACTTAGTGCTTGTTGCAGGTAAGAGTGCGCTGTGGTATGTTATCCTATATTTACATGTTACGTTAAGTAATGTAGCGCGTGATAATGGTACCAAGACCGTGGGCCTAGGAGAGTGACCCAGCCCTGAGGGTCTTATGTAAGGAAGCAGTGGTCCTGTCTTACACTTAGGCAATGCTGTGGTCAGTCGGGTGTGTTGATTGTCGATTTACACTCAATTACCCCAGAGTGTTGGGGGGGGGGGTGAGCGGAGGGGAAACTCCGGTGTCTGTGTCCTCTAATCAGGACATGTTGTAAAAGGTGTGTAGTCGACTAGGGTCATCTGTGTTATCTATGACCCGGGAACTCTAACAGTGCCGGGCCGTGCTGCATACTAACGAAACCTGAGAACTATAACATTTAAACATCAGGGGTTGACCGGTATCTGGTACTGGTGTGGGGATCAGTCCAGTTCCTTGTGACTGCTGGTGCATCATCAGTCAGCCGGTGTCATCTGCAGAGCGTGGGGTAAAAGGGACAATCCTGCGTACGTCCCATCTGTGACTTGGACGTGCCGTGTTGTCAGAAGACATGGTAAGGCCCAGTCCTTGCAGGAATGTCGCTGAGTCCTCTGCAGTGGAAAGCTGATGCATGCTCCCGTCTTTATGGACTATTAGAGCTCGAGAGGGCCCCCATTTGTAGCTGATGTCTGCAGAGCGTAGGGTCTTTGTCACCTGTTGAAAAGACCGTCTCCATTCCAGAGTGGAGCGGCATAAGTCCTGTAGGAGTTGGAGTTGCATTTCCTCGAACTTAAGAGGTGTTCTGGATTTTGCAGCATCCTGCAGGGCCAGCTGATCGCGAAGTAGCGGGAAACGTATCAGGACGTCCCGGGGAACCCCAGCCGGGGCCCTGTTTGACTTGGCCAGTCTGTAGCAGCCATCTACCTGAATGCCCTTCGCAGAGCGCTGTGGTAGTAGGGTAGTCCACAGCCGGCGTAAGAAATTTGGCAGTTCCTGGTCGGTAACTGATTCGGCTATGCCCCTGATTTTAAGATTATTACGCCTCCTTGCGTCGTCCTGGGTGTCCAGTCTGACCTGCATGCTTTTGTGTGATGCTTGGAGCAGGAGCAAGTGCTCGTTGGTGCTTTCTTGCTTTTGGGCTAGGGAGGTGATGGCATCCTCGTTAGCCTGCAGTCTTGCTGTCACCACTGTTATATCCTCACGCATGATATTCAAATCTGCATTGAAGAAGGCTCTTATGTTTGTTAGTAGAGCTTTGATGTCCCCTTTTGTAGCTGGGGCTGTTAGGTCTTCCTCTCTTTGAGGGCTGTTCATGCTCCCTGAACAGGATATGTTGTCAGGTGCGTCTAGGAGTTCTTCCTCAGAGGATGTATAAAGAGCGTCTGTTTGTGGCGCCATTTTGGGCCTAGGCCGCGGCTGAAGGAGGTCAGCTATATCGCGGGATCCGTTCCCGGTAAGGGTTTTTAGCTTTTTCGCCTTCTTCCTCATTGTGAGCGGTATTGTTTGACCCGGTCCCGGGCTGATTTAGGGTAAGTAGGTGCCCCAGTACTTGCTGTTTATTATGCCCGCCGCGGGAGCTCAGCCGACCTGCGTCTTCTCTCCTCAGTGTTGAAGCCACGCCCCTTTTTATTTTTTTTTACTTACCACTTTCTGACATTCCAACCTCATCCACCTGATGGTTTGTTAAAGCTTTTTCACTTTTCTAAGGCAAAATAATTCTTTAGCCCCTTAAAAAAAGAATTCTAAAAAATGTTTTTAACTAATACTTGTGCACTTTATTGTCTGAATATTTGCATGCTGTCACTTTAAATATACACTTTGCAGGCTTTCTATAAATAGTCACCCCACTGATTATCTTCTACTTATATTATGGTATATCCTTCAGCAAGGTTTTTTTGCACTACACCATATAATATATTGATTATTTATTTTGATGGATGTGGGATAGGATGTCATATGGATCAATTGAAACACTGTCTTTTGAACTATGTCTATTAAATAGTACTGTATGAGCTCTAGATGAGAAGATGCTCATTGATCATTTTGTTTTAGGCTCCCTATGTTTACTTGACCGGTGTGTCCCAGTTGCCATGGAGACGTTGACTTGGATTTTTTATTTTTTTTTAAATAAAAGAAAAATAATATTAAAAACCCTGGAGTGCAGTTTAAAAATCCCTGCAGATTAAACCTCAAAGCAGATCTTTCCAGTAAAAATAATACATAGAAACATAGAAACATAGAATGTGACGGCAGATAAGAACCATTCGGCCCATCTAGTCTGCCCAATTTTCTAAATACTTTCATTAGTCCCTAGTCTTATCTTATAGTTAGGATAGCCTTATGCCTATCCCACGCATGCTTAAACTCCTTTACTGTGTTAACCTCTACCACTTCAGCTGGAAGGCTATTCCATGCATCCACTACCCTCTCAGTAAAGTAATACTTCCTGATATTATTTTGTTCCTCTAATTTACGACTATGTCCTCTTGTTGTGGTAGTTTTTCTTCTTTTAAATATAGTCTCCTCCTTTACTATGTTGATTCCCTTTATATATTTAAATGTTTCTATCATATCCCCCCTGTCTCGTCTTTCCTCCAAGCTTTACATGTTAAGACCCTTTAACCTTTCCTGGTAAGTTTTATCCCGCAATCCATGAACCAATTTAGTAGCCCTTCTCTGAACCCTCTCTAAGGTATCAATATCAGAACATCCAATCGCACAGTTGCTGTCCGTGTTACAGGGGGGCTGTGTTTCGCTTACCCACGGCCCAGGTACACCTGGACTGGGGAGTCGGGTTGGGAAAGACCACGGTGGGCATCATGGACAACCTGCCTGCCGAAGTCGTGTTGGGCAACGACATTGGCCCTCTGGCTTCGGGCTATTTACCCACAACTGCTGCTGCTTGTCCCGTGACCACCCGTTCGCAGACCCGTACCGCAGACGATCCTAGAGAGAGGCCCTTCGCAGAAGCGCCAATTAGTGGTACCCAGGAAGTACCGGTTGGAACTTGTCCGAATTGTCCACGACATTTTGTTGGCAGGACATTTAGGGGATAACCGCACCCCCAACAGGATCACCCAGACCTTCTTTTTTGGCCGGGGATCTCGAAGGATGTGCGGCATTACTGCAGCACATGTGACGTCTGCCAACGAGTAGGGAAGAGGGGGGATCACCCTAAGGCTCGACTGTCACCTATGCCCGTGATCGAGGAACTGTTTAGCAGGCTAACCCTAGGCCCTCCGGAAGCCGTCGCTCTGACGAATATCCAGGCTGACACTGTCGCCAGTGCTCTAGTCGGGATATTCACCAGAGTGGGATTCCCCCAGGAAATCCTGTCTGACAGAGTGACCCAGTTTACCGCAGACTTAACCCAACAGTTATGGAAGGTCTGCGGTATTAAGACCCTACCACCCTCAGACTAACGGTCTCTGTGAGCACTTTAATGGTACCCTAAAGCAGTTGCTGCGGACCTTTACAGCGGAATACAGAGACTGGGAGCGATTCTTGCCACACCTCTTGTTTGCATATCGAGAGGTGCCGCAGGAATCCACTGGGTTCTCTCCGTTCGAGCTGCTCTATGGACGGAGAGTTCGAGGCCCTCTCGATCTCATCTGAGAGCATTGGGAGGGAGAGATGGAGCATGAGGGTTGTGAGGAACTGACTCTGCTGGGTTTCGAACCCTGGTTTACATGGTGCTAAACCTCTTCCTTACCAGTACACCAGCCTGCCTTTTTTTTTTTTACATGGACTTACTCAGCTCTCCACTTCACTTTGAGAAGCTTGTCCCCTGGCCCATCTGCATCTTTATCTCCCTCATACAGCTGTGAAACTGGTGCTTGATGTACTTTTTTATGTTGAGCATACCAAGGGCACTAGCAGCACAACATATTTCCTTAGACAGATGTGTGCAGACCCTTGCTTTAAGACCAGGGTTCTACTTTCCAGATTTTCCTCAACCAATGCTTCCTTTACCTCTGTCTGCACTCATGCCTAAAGATCAAGGAACCGCTTGATCTCCCTTTTGTGACCTGGAATACTTTTCCCTTTGTGCCATCATTCCTCTTCTCTCTCCAAACATATATCTCCCCTCTTGCTTTCTTTGTGTGCTCGCTTTCCTCTCCACACTAGACTCCCTCACCATATCTGCATTTCACACACAACTTTTCCTATATGTCAAGGTACTACCCCAACACTCCAGCAAGAGGCAACAGATAGTGAAATAATGCAACACGTGTACCTTAGAGTGGCTGGGCCTAACGTAAGGAGTATAGAATATAGTCTGGAGAGAAAACAGGGATAAAGATAAACAGGCCAAGGTCAAGGACAAGATAAGGTATAATAAAACAATACACAAAACAAAGCTCATGGATTCCAGAGTAGTGAAATATACAAAGCCAAGTCATAACCAGAAAGCATACTGAAGACTATAGTGCATTCTCGGGCTACTAAGACCGAAGTGAAGTCAGAGATGGGATTAAATAGCCTAAAGTATGCAATGGTTGGTTGGGGAACAATAAGGAGTAATTGTAAATTATTTGTGTTAGGTGTTTTGCCCATGTGTTTGGGCTTCACTGACTTTAAATGAAGCAGAATCTAAGAGTTCACATCATCAATGACATCAGAGAAACATCAGCGTGCATGCCACCTAGTGTGTGCATGTATTTGGCTTTAGGTCAACATTCGGCATTGGAGAAAAGAAGAGGGACGGCTTGTGGAGGTTCACTGTTGGCCAAATGAGGAGGAGCGGCTTGGTGACTACATGGGCTGACCGGATGAATGATACAATATTACAACTCATTTCCAACCTTTTCTACACAAATATCTATACTACAGCTATTTCCTAATCTAACTATCCAAGCAAGAGTCACCTCTGCTACCTCACCTAACAAAAGCAACATATAAATGAGATAGAAAAAAGGGATTAAAATGGTGCATGAAACAGGTGAATAAATCAGATCCTGGAGAGAGTACCAGGACATGTACACCCTGAGCTACCAGAAGAAGAGACTGGAGAGATTTTTTTTGTTGATTTCCGAAACATATATATATATATATATATATATATATATATATATTTTTTTTTTAATGTGAGTCTAATACCGTTTACCAAACATCATTCACTAAACCATCTGGACAAAATTCAATGAAAATTCAATGAAACCAAATTCTAAATTATTTTCTATAGCCAAATGCAGTCAGAAATCAATATATGCATTCGTTGTCTAGATTAAAAATTGTGCTTTCGAGTCCTTTGCAAAGTATATAGGATTCACAAAGCAGCGATTTTAAACTGAATAAGGACAAAATGCAGCCAGCAGAATGCACATTTAGCAGGATGCACACTCACAAACTATTGTTCACTTGCTTTCTTGCAAATGAACAATAATTTTAAGGTTTTGTTTTTTTCTCGTCTAATATATTTATTAATGTTTTGTGTGATATAGAATAACAGTTAACATAATAATGACACATATATACACTAACTTATGAATCGTTGTCGAATAAAACACTTAAAAAAATAAAATATACATACAAATTATAATCTCCTATATATATGAGACAAGTAAAATATGTATTAGCTATATCCTGGTACTAAAAAAAAAAAGTATTCAGTCAGGTAAAGTCTGTATTCTTTTTTCACATCATTTTCCCACAAGGACTATTCATGCTGCAGTATAGATGTGAATGTAGATGGTTCACGGAAAGCTACTACACACCTTTTACTTTCAAATACTGCAGATAAAACTTCACCCACAGTTGGTATAGTGGGTGATTTCCAGAGGCGGGAGATGATGGAATTTGCTTAGATCAAAACATGGCCTAGCATAATTCGTTTATATTCATGTTAGATGGAATTTGCTTTAAGAGACAAAGACACAGGGATAAAACTACATCAAATTCTAAAATTTTATTAATTTAAGCATGTTCAGCCAAAAAGATTTGATTTCGGGACACTGATAGAGGATGTGGAACAATGTACCAGTGTGTCTGCAGTTTCTCCAACATTTATTGTTTTCACTAAGGTTTAATTTAAAAAGTTTGGAAGGGGCTAGGTACCAGCTATAAATTAATTTGTAGTGGGATTCCAAATTATTTGTGTACTGAGTGATACCTTTTAATGATAATAAGAAATTATTCCACTCCTCTACTATGTATATCCCACCCAGCTCACTCTCCCATCTCATCATGTAATTTAATTTATCATACATGTCACCTGCAAAAATATAACATTCCCACCAATGTCTATTAAATAAATGTTTTCTAGTTTAGACATATGTAATTTCAACAAGTTCGGATCCTGATCGAAAAAAGAGAGAAATGTTCACTAATAGTTGTCCCAAGTCTCTCATGTGTTTGGGCATCAATTAAACTCAATTTACATTTTTCTTTTAATTTAT